AACATAAAAGCATTAGTTGACAACGAGTTAGTTCGAGATGTACCGCACGATAAACGGCACAAGTGAATAGACAAATGTAAGCTTTGTCTCCGTTTCTCAAAAACAAAGGTCCAGCAAAGTCGATACCTGTTATTTCAAACACATTGGCATCGCGAACTCGATCGATTGGTAATGGTGGGGAGTTAACAGTCAACTTTTTTGCATTGAATTTCCTACACGTGAAGCATTTAACAATTACTGATCGAACGGCACGACGTCCTCCTAGTACCCAATACCGCTCTCGAAGAATGCTCAACAATCCTTGAGTTCCTACATGACAAGACCGTACGAGCTCCTGAAAAATGATTTGATGAACTGTAGGATGTTTAGATCCTGGATCCCACATCAATCCCAATACTGGCAAAGGTACTACATCTTCATTGTTGTAGTAACTGTCCTTTCTAGTGAACTCCCACCCTCTTAAGTCAAACTTTCCCTCTGCCATAATCATAGTGGCTTCTTGCAAAAACATATTGAGTGTCAATTCATCAGAAACACTTGTAATGCAGTTGTCGACATAAAATCCTTCATTTGCCAGCTTCAATATTACTTCACGGGAATATCTCGTGTCGCCACTTTCAGTCCTTTTTAACATTTCTTCAAGGTGATGTTCAATTGTTGCTCCTAAGAGAAAAGGGCTGCTATTAACGCCGAAAACAACTCTACAGTGGCGAAAGGTCAACTCATTTCCATCTTGATCAACCCATAAGAAGCGAATAAAATCTCGATCTCTCTCATGAAGACTAATTTGCAAGAATGCCTTCCGGATGTCTGAAACTACTCCAAACTTGTACTCTCTAAATTTAAGCAAAATTGACGGAATCGATTCGATGTAATTTTGACCTTTTTCCAAACAATCGTTCAAAGAAGGCTTGTCTTTTTCATGAGCAGACGCATCAAACACAGGCCGGATTTTTGTTGTAAGGCTATTTTCTTTTATGACTGATCTGTGAGGCAGATAATGAATGCCGCTTTTGTCATGTTCAGATGGAATTATCTCAATTATTCCTTCCTCTAGCCACCCTTTGAAAACTTGGTCATAAGATTGAACAAGGTTTTGATTCTGTAATTTTTGAAGAGTATTGTGTAGTCTCCTTTTGGAAAGGTGATAATTTTTCGACAGTGGTGGGTGACCATCAATCCAAGGTAACCGGACCTCATAACGACCTTCATTGTTAATTGTCACGGTGTTTAAAAAAATATCTTTGGCGACTGATACCAATTCCTTCCGTGTTCTGAGCTTGCTTGCTACTAGACCATTGGATAACGAGTGATGATTTTCTGTGAAGATTTGACCGACTGAATCAGCACCAATCAAAATCTCAATAGGTCCAGCAGATCCAATGTCTGACAACTCAATATTGAGATCTCTGAGCTCTTCAATCCATGGTCCAGAACAGACAGGCGAAACCTCACTGCATATTATTCATTGGTCTAAAACCTCTAAATTATATGAATAATTTTGATTCTTCAATTTGACCACATAACATTCATGAAGTCGTTCATTTTGAGAGCCCCCAAATAAAAAATGAATAAGTTTTTCCTTACCCACTGATTGGCTTCCCAATTTCTCAGCAGTTGACTTAAGAATGTATGATCATTGAGAACCACTATCGATCAGAGCCCTCACGTTCTTTGAACCATTAGCACCAAATATGTTCACTCTCAAAGTTTGCAGAAATACATTGATTCGTGAATTGTAGGTGGCTAGAAATTTGTCAATGTTAGGATTCACCTCTGGTTTCTTACTATGATCAAGAGTATCAAGAGACTCCTTGTTACTAGGCAAATCAGGGCACATTATTACCAGATGAGATTTTTGACAGATAGCACACTTAGGATGTCCACGACATCTTTTTGAAGTATGACCAGCTTTCAGGCATCTGAAACAAATTTTGTTACTGATCAAAATACGTTTCTTTTGCTCCAAAGACATCTTCTGTGCTTTAAAACAGTGTTCACCAATGTGATTAGAACCCCCACAAAATGCACAATTTGAATTGAAACTAACCAAGTTTGCGGCGGTGGGTACCGGTGAACTCACATTTTTCTTAGCCGAAGGGTTCGAAACAGTTCTCGATAAATTAGCACTGGAGTTACCTTGACCGACTAAACGGAAACCCTCTGAAGCCAATGTAATACGCTGCTCGTTTTCAACTTCGGTTTTCAGAAACTTCATGAGGTTTTTAAGACGAATGTCTAACTTACCCGGACCTGATTCCGTTGAGACATTTGTAGCACTTCCTGAATTTTCAGGTTCAAATCTATGCGGGGAACGTTGCCATGCTCTCAATAAATCTTGAGGGAGGCATGACTCAATGAGAGGAAAAAGCATCGCAGAACACTTATCTGATGTAATGCCTAAAGTATCTAACGCTCGAATCTGTGTCTCGATCTGGTCATATAAAATTACCAATTCAAGCTTAGATTTAGATGTAGCATTACACAAAACCAACTTAAGCAATTCTCTGACGTAGACCTCAATTTGAAGATCTTCTCTGCCAAAACGAGATAACATGGCTTCGATAATATGATGATAATTTTCCGCAATAGCTGGATAACTCTCTACTAGTTGCCTTGCTCTACTAAAGGGTACAGTTGCCCGAATCAAATAATCAATTTTATCGACTGCCTCGATATCTCTGGCTCCGTGGATCTTCTTGAATTGTGACCAGAATGGTAACCAGTTTCGAATATCACCATCAAACTTCTTAAATTCTATTAAAGGTAATTTAAAACGCCTACCTGTCATGCTGAAGTGAGAACATTCAGAATTTGCATCATCGATGTGTTCTACTTCATAGGTTACCTTTCTGAATATTTCCTCATACTGGAGTTTCAGGGCTGCAAACTTCCTTTTGTAAAAGTCACAATTTGTCATGTCCGCCAATAACTCATCCTCGGTAGCATCACTCTGCAGGAAGTCCTGGTACACTTTATCATCTACAACTTGTAGGTCCTCCATCTTTGCTTGAATTAAGTCGTAGCATATATGTATCTGCTGATTATCGCGTGGGATTGCTGACATTAACTTTTCGAGATTAGATGTTAGTAACGTAAATGAAAGGTAATCTGAACAGTCTCAATGACAATTGTCTTGTCACGGTCGCCAAAAAATGTAGAGTCCAGAAGAAAAAACTACCCGTTTAACTCCGGTTCTCTCAGTTCAATGGAAATTGTCAAATGAGTATCTTCTAATGTGCCATCCACCGTGAATCAGCCTGTATTATATATGTTTTAATAAGCTGAAAGATGTGGACACATTTTCGATCTGTCTGCGAATAAAGAAGATATAGGCAAAAAAATAATTTGGGATTTTTTGGTTTTTCCTGTATATCTCCAGAACCAAAAGAGCTATATTCACATCATTGAATATGTCTCTAAAATACGTAACTTTGCCATAATTTAACCGACACTCTATCTCTTATCGTTTACGAGATCCCCATGTACAGAAACGAATTTGAATAGCCCTGTATATATATACTTTTACATATACATATATATGCACTTATGTCTTTGACATTATCTCAACATTTTGGCAAGAAACATAAAGTCAGCTAAATTCTGCAAAACATCACCATAGGTGAAATTATGGAAAACATTTCACTTTATTAGAAATAGTCATGAATGGGAACCAGACAAAATTTAATCTCTTCCATATTCCTGAGGATACTCATGGAATTGAGTTACAAAATATTGATTTGTATATCACAAATATGACTTTGACTTCATTGGATATATTTTAATAAAATGAACTGTTTGTACTTGATCTTAACTCACTACTATACCTTTCTGAAATTAAATTAATATCATATATAAATTACAGTTAGAGTAGTGATAACGATCTGAAATTTTTTGAAATTTGTGTAACAATTGGGGCTTGTCCATTAATAAACAAAACAATTCTGAATTTTTTTCAGATATGAGAAAAGCTTGCTCTAGGGATGTGAATCAGAAATCTGTAATACCTTTAACACATCCTGTTAGACCTGAAGATGTAGATTGAACAGCCAGACTGTAGGAGACAACTAATAATCCTAATAAAGAATCAAAGAGCAGAATTTTCAGTCATCTATATAATATTTTTGTGTGAAATGTGTTGTAATTATTTATCAGTAATTAACATTAAACTGATTTAAGATAATTCATATATAGTAAGAAATTACAATTTGAAAATAAATTTCACCACTGATAATTGAAGATTGTAATTTTTTATATTGTATCTATCTATGAAATTAATTATAGATTCATCAGTTTCATTAAATACTTGAAAATAGTCATGGTGGAAATTGAATAGGTGAACATTTTTTTATTGAGGAATTCAGAATCCTGGTAGGTAATTTCAGTTATTCATTATGTACCTAGTCCATATATGCAGAACTTCTTTATCATTGATTTCCCAAAAAACATTTATAAAAGTTGTCAAATTTTCTTTAACCTTGTGTTTCATTCATTACAAAGGCTGAAACTGAAAAATACTCTTACGAATATTTTATAGCGACGATCGCAGCTGTCAGTTGTTCTATTGATCCTTGTTATTGGCTCTAATGTACTCTTTTTACTCAACTGTAGATCTCTTCAGAATCTGCCTAATATTTCTGCATAAATTTGAAAGCTTTTAATCGAATTTATTCATTCATTATAGTATATTACCAATGCCTAGTTTGTATATCTACCAAACTCTGGTATATATAAAAAACAATATTTCTATTATTTCTAGAAATGAACAAATCCATGAACATTTCACCAGAAATAACTTTCAACTACATCAATATTATAGTAAATTGACAGTATCAAAGAATCACACCATGTACTGTGGGGTTAAGCTATATAATAAACTTAGTGAGGACATTAAATTCTCAAATATCAACGTCTTTAAAAGGCGACTCAAGATTTTTCTACTGCAAAAAGCATACTACTCTGTAGATGAGTTTCTCCTCGAATCCTAATTTGATTGTAGCTTTTTCTATGTATGTTTTATATTGACTTTTTTATGTTTGTTTGAACTGTTGAATTGGCCAATATTTTATGATGAAGTTAAGTTTTTTTTGTCTTATGTGATTGTTAAGGAAAACGTATTCAATAAATGTTTGGTTGATTGATTGAATTCAAGTAATACTTAAATGTTATATTTTGACTGAACAGTTTACAAAACTGCAACAAGTGATTCGCTATACAGTAGCTTACCCAGTGTTTAGTGAAAAATATCGTAATAAAGTGATACTTGAAAATGTTATGAATTTTCATAAGTCCCAATATCCATATATCATATGAAATGAATTTGTTAATAGAATTTACAATAGTGGCAACGCTGCCGTGCTGTAAATGAGCTTCATATACAACTAGATCTAGAACTCTACTGTATCCACCAATAAGAATCTTATAGTGGGCCGCCAAATATGGGTATATACATTTTTAATAAGTTGCCAAAAACCACTATTGATTGTGCCCCATACACACAAATTTTGTAAACCTTAGTAAAACTTATTGGGAAAACAAGTGTCAATGGTTTCACAGAGAGTGTTTTGGAATAACTCATTAAGATATTGAAGCCTTCTTAAAAAGATATTTTTTTTGCAGCATGCAAAGCAGCTACTTATTCAGATAACGACTATCTTGACACAAACTTTCATGATGCTCTTAAAAACATGAATGGTGAGAAAAAGTTTGACCAACAAGCTTTCAGCTATATAACAAAACAACATAATAATTATCAACTATCCTATATTTTCATACTGGTTGTATTTGTAACTAACGTTACTGCAGTTTCTAACGAATATATTGTTTGAAAATGTCGTTCTAGGACGAAACTGCAGTAACGTTAGTTACAAATACAACTGGTATAAAAATATAGAAGTTTCAATTCTCATTTTTCAAGATTGATATTTGGGAAAGAAAGATTTTGGCTCTCTACTTCTCCATTTTTATACAAAAAGTGTGGGAACTTCCAAAGGAAAGAAGAAAGCAATTAATTTCAAAATGAACTCTTTACAAAGATGTGAAGATCATGCATAGAAGTTACTTTCAGATACAAACTTCGATGCTATGGCTTGTCAGATCATTTTTGTGTATGGCTCTCCGGTTTCATGAAAGACCGTTCCCTGCCAGTGGCCGTCGATGAATATTTCTCGAATACTTTTACCATCAAAGCTGGTGTTTCCCAGGGATCCATATCATCTCCAATCCTCTTTTTATTGTATATTAACGACTTATTCGAAAAATAAAAAGAATCCAATATATTGCTTTGCACAGCACACTTGTCTCGTCATTACATTTGGATTCCAGGACATCGGCTGCGAATGCATATTTTCACAGGCAGAAGGAGGGTTGCATGTCTTAATGAGCATCTAGAAGTGATTTCGAACGAGGAGTGAAACTAACCAGGTTCAATTCAATGCAACAAAAACCCAGGCATCGGTATTCTCCAAAAAAATTAATGTTTCTGAACCGGATATAATAATGTCAGGATCGACAATCCCGCTTTCTGCTTCGATAAGATTTTTGGGGGCTAAAATGGACATCAATGTCTTGACACAATCATGTCGCCGAAATTGCAGAAGCTGCTTCTCAAAAGCTTCGAACGCTGTTCCAAACCAGAAAACTGTACACACCTCACCAAATTTTGATGTTTTATAAAGCTCAGATCAGACCTACTTTGATGAATGCTTCTCATGTCTGGAGCTCCGCCCCTAAGCATACCCTGAAGCTGCTGGATTCCATCTCTCTACTATAAATACTTTCACGGGAAGTGTTCAAGTGACTTGGCACATTTGATTCTACCAAGAGCGGTACATATCAGAAATACGCGACGAACTGTGGCTGCTCATCGTTTTGAGGTTTAACTCAGTACACCTCGAACTTCACTGTTTGAGAATTCTTTCATCTGGAGAACTGCGTTTATGTATAATAAATAAATAGCGATTCAAATCCAATAGGAATCACACGTTAAAAGGTAAGACCTCGTTAGTCTTTAGATCGCACAAGTTTCGACGTCAGAGGGTTGTTCTTCGTAGGGGTGCGACAGCTGGTTAACGGAAAAACAGATTTTATACAGAAACAGAAACTTTTGCACAGGCGCCGCTCTGAGATCGCTTTAAGAATTTCCTGTAATGCTTGTTTTTTGTCCTTAAAAAAAGAGCCATCCGCCTGATTAGAGACGCGAACATCACTTGCAACCTTGATAGTCTGGAACATCGAAGAAAGGTTGGGGATTTGTCTCTCTTCTATGTATAGTATAGATACTTTCACGGGAAGTGCTCAAGTGACTTGGCACATTTGATTCCACCAAGAGCAGTACAAATCAGAAATACGTGAAGGACTGTGGCTGCTCATCGTTTCGAAGTTCCACTCAGTACATCTCGAACTTTTTTTTTGTTTAAGAGGTCTTTCATTTGGAGAACTGCGGTTATGTGGAATAAACTTCCTGAAAACTTTTTTCCAAATGAATTTGATCTCCAACGATTCAAATCCAATGTGTAGCGCTACTTTCGCACAGGCACCGCTCTCAAGAGTGCCTTAGGGATTTTCCTGTAGTGTTTTTTCCACAAAAAAAGCGCTCTCCAAACCACTTCTTTCATATGATACAAAAAATAACTTTTTTTTATTCATTTTGTACTCTAAACATATGTTATGTATTTCATTAGTTCGGACTTCCATTGTCTAATATGATATAAATTTATTTGAAATCCCTGAAAGAATATGTAAAAATTAAAAAAGATTAGCTGAAAAATAACAATTATACTAAGCGAAAAAACTGAAATTACAATGAAATAAAATACAAGCAACAACCAAAAAATCAAAATATTGAACTGTTATCAAGAGATGAAAATTAAAAAGTTGAAATTAAAAGATTCCAAACCATGTTACTCCACGTCGTATCGACTGTTAGTATCCACAATCGTCTTCGGGTGATCTATTCATAGGTCATTCGATTTCTTTCACCTTTCCCTTCTTCCATCTCTTCGCTTCATCGGTTTTTATTGTTCATTGTAATTTCAGAAGAGAGGGAAGAAGGGATAGGTGAAAGCAATCGAATAACCGATGAATAGATCAGCTAATCTTTTTTAATTTTTACAGATTCTTTCAGGGATTTCAAATCAGTTTATATCATATTAGACAATGGAAGTCCGAACTAATGAAATGCACCGCGAAACATTGTCAATCTCCTTCAAACAAATATGTTATGCAATTGAATCAGATAGGAAACTGAGAATATTTGACCCATAAGGATACTTGATCCAACGCATTTTCCCCAACTCAGGAAAAGGTTCATTACCTCTCTTTTGTGTAGTAAATCCTTCTTCACGTTCTGAAGTTGAAAAAGTTGAAGAAACTAACAAGTTGTGTTGTTCGTTTCTGTTCTGAGCATTTCTTTAAGTAATCTTGAACCTGGGTACCAAAAATGAAAAATAGCATTCCTAAAAGTCCTGAAAAATATACTTAGTGGATTATTAAAGACGGTTACATTTATAAGTTGGTTAAATTGCTTTGAGAACAAACATAATATATATCATGATGGAAATTGTTTGTACCTCTTGACCAAGGGCAAAAAGTAATTTATGATTCATATAATCTTCTGTTTATAATGAGGTGCAAGACAAATTGACAGCCTTATATCAGAGGAACGCTAATTATTATAATTTGAGAAAACATAATATAAGCATATTTTTCAAATATGTGAAAAGGTTTGGAAACGAAATTTTGTACTTTTGGATGCTGCAAATGATTATCCTGCTAAGTTAGCACTGCGTTTTGTATTGTGTAGAGTGAAAAGAGCCGTGCCCATTATGAATTAGAAAATTTTGATAGATCCAATGCAGGAACTTTTATCACGTCTCAAAATTGAAACAATTTATGATTCAGATTTTGATTTGTCAGATTAAATTTTTGTGTTTAGGCATCATGTGCTGTCAATTGACCTGATCCAACACTGACTTTTGTATTACATGTCTTAATGTTTCTAGAAATATTCATTTTGACTGTTACATTAGCAATGAGCTAAACTCTAAAAAATAATTTAGGCAAAGTATCTGAAATGAGGTCATGAACCAAATTCAATTTTGGTTTGATTATCTGAAGGTCACATTGTAGAATACTTTTATATTATGTAGAGAAAGAATATTTCTATTTTGTGTTATAATGATCACTAGCCCTATTTGTTTGCATAATATGCAAATAATATAGCTCATAATATTATTATGAGCTTTACTGGCTTACGATTTGGTGGGATGACCCACCCCCCGAACTCGCTTCGACGGGCTCCAGTAACCGACTCTCCGTGGCTCTCCCGAAAACCTCACTCCCTAATAATATGATGGCTAATTATCATGCCGTTCTTAATAACCGTCGTCCACATGCGACGTAGGTCACCAAAAAATCTATTCCGCTGAACTCACAAAACTCACGATCACGATCATCCTGGACGGCTCTGTCTACGTGACGAATATATCAGTTCCAGATGAACTGAAGATAGCGATAGTGAAACCACTTCACAAAAAAGGGGATAAGTCGGACATTTCCAACTTCAGGCCAATCAGTCTTTTAACATGTATATCAAAAATTTTTGAAATAGCAATGGTAAATCGATTAGTCAAATTTTTTACAAACTTCAAAATGTTTTCTAATAATCAGCATGGCTATCTGAAAAATANATGTGAATTCTCTCTCTCTCTCTCTATCAACTGATTAGTATATGAAAAATAACGCCCCTTCGGTGGTCAACCATGATCAACCATAGGTTTCGTTGACCCGGTGTGTCTTCAATACCAATACTTTTATTTTCCACTTTCCTGTACCCAATACTGGCTTACGATTTGGTGGGATGACCCACCCCCCGAACTCGCTTCGACGGGCTCCAGTAACCGACTCTCCGTGGCTCTCCCGAAAACCTCACTTCCTAATAATATGATGGTTAATTATCATGCCGTCTTAATAACCGTCGTCCACATGCGACGTAGGTCACCAAAAAATCTATTCCGCTGAACTCACAAAACTCACGATTACGATCATCCTGGACGGCTCTGTCTACGTGACAAATATATCTGACTCTGTATCTTTCCAAAACACGCCGATGGATTTTGTTTATATAAACACTATCTCGGGCTTGCCATGATGTTACATTGTATGAGACAGAACTGGCCTTAAAAATTTCAGAATTAGAGAACAATGTCTCTTCCCGAAGGTGGAATGTATATTAACATATATAGCTTTTGCTAGGTATTACATCACTCTCTCCTACGAAAAAGTTCTGGGCATACACAATGTCATAACTTTTCCAACAAGCTTATCCTAAATAGATATTATTGGAGTTTAATCCCAACCCCAAACCGTTATTTTTAACACCTCGACACGTGTTTCAATCACCAAGCGATCATCTTCCAGAGGAAGATAAATTTTTTTATTACTTTGAGGGTAATAGAAGTAGAAGATAATGCACCCAGAAAAAGTTGGAAATTGAAAGTAGTAGAGAAGTATTTCCTGGACTGTATGGAAGGGTTCGAGTAATGAAACTCAGAACCAGGACTGAGATATAGAAACGTATTAATTTCTAAACGACGGTTAAACTGTCGTTTAGAAAAACATCATATTGACAATTGTAAATAAATCGAAGTAAAAATTCTTTCTTTAAAATTTCTATTAATTTCATTGAATTTGACGAAGATACATTGTAGAATGAAGGAAAGTCCAGGGTCGATGGATGAATCCACATAACTCGTATCATATTATAATTATGAGTTCTGTGCTCTGAAAACGATGTACTGCCTGGATAGCCTTCGTAGTTGAGGCCATTGAATTGAGAAGGAAAAGAAAGTATTTTAAAGTATTTTTATCCCTTCTGTATAGCTTATATTTTATATCAGTATTTTCCTTTGAATTGGATTATCTATTTTCCAAAAAATGACAACTTTGAGGCCTTTCACATGTGACGATATGTATAAATTCAACAATGTGTAGGTTTTTATGAAATGTATATGTCAATTTTTGAGTTAACCAATTTTATTTCAAGAAATTTGGATCCACTCACAGAAACTTATGGACTATCATTTTATATGCAATATTTAGCTCACTGGCCTGAATATTTTCAAGTTGCAGAATCTCCAAGTGGGGAAATTATGGGATATAGTGAGTTCTTTGATAGTTGATGTTACTTCATTTTTTAAATAGTAGTACAAATTAGAGTTGGAACAGAAAATATAATTTTGTAATATTTTTGAATGATTCATTTTTAGTTATGGGTAAAGCTGAAGGTATTGGTGATAATTGGCATGGTCATGTTACAGCTTTAACAGTTTCCCCAGATTTTCGTAGGTTGCGACTAGCAGCTTCACTTATGAACTTTCTTGAAGAAGTTTCAGAAAAGTGAGTATCGACCACAATTATTTGAATATTTTTAAGNATCATTTCGTAAGTTTCGAATTTTTGCCGCTGTTGCCTGCGATATCGATTCTAGGTCAAATATTACTCTGGTATGGTTGTGAATTAAGAACCGTTTATTGTCAAATCTGTCCCAGAATGTACCCCAAGCAGTTTCATAATTTTTTGTCGTGAATTTGAGTGACTGGATTACTTGAGGTGTGAATCCAACCAAAGAGGCTCTCGAATAATGAAATTTCTGAATTCCATTCATCTGAGGATTATCTATTAATGACTCAAAAATATCTCGAAATTCTAACCATGCTTCATAAGAGCCATCAAACTTGGGCAACTTCAACTCTGGCAATCTTAAACCTCCAAGGTGTTTTGACTGTGAAGCCGCAGAATCTCGACTACCTATTGTTTGTATTGTTTCTAGCATTAGATACGATTGCACATCATCGTCTTTCACGTAATTTTCCAGAGTTGATTTAGCTTTCGCTATAAATGAATGAAATTTATTTTCAAACTCCTCCCGTGTGTTAATTGTTCATTGAAATTTTCGGCTTCACTGTCTATGTCACCTTGTACATCATCAAACTCCTGCATTATATGTTCAATCGCTTGAATGCGTCGCTCTAATTGAATTACATCTTCTCTATTTAATGATTCTGGTAAACCCTGTAGGTATCTCTCAAACAATGTCAATTTCGTTTTAAGGCTAGCTCGTGTTCGTGTTAATATGTTATTGATTAGCATTGTCTCAGATTGTTTTTTCGTATAATTTAAATCGAATGATGTTAATTTATTAGGTATGACACCCTAAATCAGTGGTCGCCAACCTGTCGATCGCGAGCTACCCTATAGCTTGCGGACGCAATTCTGGTAGCTCTCACAACGATTTTAATTTAAAAAATACAAACTGCAAAAATCAGAGAAGCTTCCGAAAATTCCACAAAAAAATCTAATTGTCATAATATTAAACATAAACAGCGGCAACGTTGCGGTGA